GTTTATTTCCATGATGTCTCAAAGTAAAAGCTTTAAGAAAAAAAAAAAGAATAAAGCATCAAGCACAGTCACACACAACTGTAATTCCAGTTGGAGAGGTGAGGCATGGGAACCTTGAAGCCCTCCTGGGTTACAGAGAAAGACCTTGTATTAAGAACTAAATAAAGAAGTACAGGGACACGCAGACAAACTAAACAAGGAAATGTTCAGATTAACAAGATCAGCCAGGACCTGGGCAAGCAGCCGTGGTTTTGCTAAGTTGGAAGGATAAAGAGTGAAAATAAGCACAGGAATGTGAAACATCCTCTTGCTTCCCTGGTACGTGAGTGCTGCTCTTAAATCAGTCCCTGCCAGACTTTAGTTCTTATCTTTTGGTTAAGGAATTACGATTACCCCACAAATATTATGTGGGTGCAGGAGCGTGGTAATACAACCGAGTAAGCCTTTATGACATTTTTCAAATGAACAATTTTCACGCTCTACACTCACACACACACCACCCCCCATATTGCCACTTCCCCTCACCCATCCCCAACACCCCACACACACCCCAACACCCCCTACACACACCCACACATGCCTACACACACACCCTCCTGCACACACACACACATACCACACACATGCACCCCACACGCACACCCCACACGCACACCACACACGCACACCACACACGCACACCCCACATTTAAAACACAAAAAAATCTTCACACCCCAACACCCCCACCCACTCATACACCCACACACACACCACACACACACCACACACACACTCCACATTTAAAACACACACACAAAAATCTTAAAAACAAAATAAAAGACCTAGATAGAGAAGACTTCTGGACGTTTTGTTCTTGATAAAGGAAAAGGGCATAAAAGTGAGATTGCTGCTTGGGTATACTTTTTTCCTGATTTTTTTTTGAGACAATATTTCTCTGTGTAGCTCTAGCTGTCCTGGAACTTGTTGTACAGACCAGACTGGCCTCAAACTCAAGAGATCCATCTGCCTCTGCCTCCCAAGTGCTGGGGTTAAAGGCGTGTGCCACCACCACCAGCTTGGGGCTACTTTTAAACCAACTGAAAATGGTTTAGTCTGGAGCTGTAACTCCGTGCTAGGACACTTGTCTACCAGGAAGAAGGCCCCGCAATGAAGGAAAGTATAAAAGAGAGATTTATTCATCTCTATACATATATGTTTCTGGTGCAAACACTGTCTCCAGTCAATGAAAATAAATTCACTGTAAACGGTGCATCTCTGCCGGAAGTGGGGGTGGCACCAAAAACACCGTTTTCCATGGTCTAACGGTTTGGAAAGAACCCAAGAAGCATGGAAAAGGATGGTAGAATAAGTAGAACAAAATGTCCCCAAGGATAGCATGTCCATGACCTACTTGAGTTGACTATGCCCCTTTTATAATGTGATATCTCACTGCCCCAGAAGGGAGACGAGAATATAATCAAGGTCAGCTTTCTCTTCCACGCCAATACCAGCTCTTTCCACACGCTTGCCGGACAAAGGGCAACGTGGTTTAGAAGCATTAACTCTGTAGGATTTACAAGTTCACGCAGTTCTGATAGCACTAAAGGGGAGATGCCACAAGTCACACATGGCTGAACGCTGTTCTTCTCTGACTTGCTGTTCCTTTTCACAGAGACACCAAACCCACAGAAGCAGAAAGAAATGAGCGGGTTTTGTATAACCACGGCCTTTTCCTAGAGCTGAGTTACTTGTTCTCAGAAATTTAAACCACTTCATTTTGCCCAAATAGGCCAAGAAGTTCACAGGTAGAGCGAGCCAGAGTCTGGTTTGGTTCTAGGAGCCAAAACACGAGTCTACCCATTTGAGCTGACTAGACAAATAGACAAAAGAAATACTACATTTATAAATGTGCGTGCGTACGTGCTGGGCCACGCACTCTCTCACATGTGAACACGGGGTTGACAGAAAGAATGAGTATTTTCACTGGCTTCTTTTTCCTCTTGGCTCTTCTCTACCATTGGACACATCAGCAGTGCTAGATCCTAACAGACTTTGTCTACCTCATTTCGTGAGAAGCAGAAACAGAAGTCATAGAACACTTGGCTATGTCCACGGCCTTTCAGAGGCTCTCTGCCCCTCCTCTCAAAGCCTCCCTTTCCCACACTCAAAAATGATCCAAGATTTGGTGTGGTATGGAACGTAAAGGGGGAAAGTTATTACTCATTTAGTCGGTAAGTCATCGCCTTCCAAATATTTACAATGAACTTCTCTAGGCACCGTGGCACACGGGAGCCAATTAACAAGCACAGCAGGATGTATAAGGCTTTATGTTCTAAGGTTAGGATAAAACAGTTTGCTAGTAGGAGAAGACTCTTTTCAAAGAGTAGAATACGTGTGTGTGTGTGTGTGTGTGTGTGTGTGTAGATATAGGGGTGCATAAATACAGATCTAGACATCTTACACATAGGGATTTTCTTTCTGTATGCTACACAGAAGTGTTTTGCACATGGATTTGGACAGAACAGTGACGTGGGTGGCCTCCCCGTTCCTGCTTCCCTACATTTCTGCAGCTTTCGTCTGTTTAAGGCTCATCTTGCCTACGATCAATGTGGCTCGGTGCCTCTTCACTCAGCTGTCCATGGTGGGCTCTGCGATCTCTTCTCCCCCCACCCTCCACTCTCCCGAATCTACAGCTGTCCAACATGACCGCCCCAACGCTCATTTTGGCTAGAGCCGTAGGTGCTGGTGGATGACCAGCAGATAGGGTTCTGCGCTGGCTAGGTGCTCTAGACCTGACTGAGTCTGACAGCTGTGAGGAATCCGGGTTCTGACACCTTGGTATTAAGCGACTGAACTTGACTTCTGTCTAGCTCAGTTTCTTTTAGGTCAGATAAGATAAGAAAGGGTAGCGGCTCGAGCCCCACTCCAGCTAACCTACAGTGCCTTAATATTAGCCTCAGCACGATTTTACACAGCACAAAAAAAGAAAAATGGGGCTGAGGGTATGGCTCAGTGGGTAAAGGGCTTGTGTACAAGCATGAGGACCTGAGTGGAGGATGCGAGGCAGTGGAGGCACCTGAGGGGGCCCCGAGCTTCTTGTCACACTCAGGTTACAAATCTTGAAAGTTACTGTAGAATTGCACAGTCACAGGGACTGGAGCGATGGCTTTAGTGCAGCGGTTCACAACCTTCCTGATGCTGCAACCCTCCAACAGAGTCCTCCATGTTGTGGTGACCCCTTGTGGAAATTTATTTTAACTAAGCAAAGATGTAGTGCATTTTTTTTACACTGCAGAATATTACTTTAACCCGTGCAACGCTTGTGTTACTTTTGCTCATGCTGTGTTTGCTTAACGATGCAAGGATGTGTTTAATTGTGTAAAGATGGGCTGTGTCTGTTTCGCCTTGCCTGCCTAAGGCACCTGATTGGTCTAAGAAAAAGCTGAATGGTCGGTCAGTCAGTAGGTAGATGAAGGAGAGCAGGGGCTGGCAGGCAGAGAGAATAAATAGGAGGGGAAAAGTAGGCTCCAGGAGAAAAAAGGAAGAACGAACGACATGCCTGGGACAAGAAGCTAGGCAGATGACAGACAGACAGACAGACAGACAGACAGATAGACATAGAGAAGCAGTGAAAGTCAGATATACAGACTGAGAAAGATAATAAGCCCCAAGGCAAAAAGTAGATAAAAATAAACAGGTTAATCTAAGTTAAAAGAGCTAGCCAGAAGGGAGCCTAAGCTAGGCTGAGCATTCAAAACTAATAATAAATCTCCGTGTTATGATTTGGGAGCTGGTTGGTGGCCCAAAAGAAAAAGCCTGGTAGAGACCCACAAACCTAAAACCATTTTCATTAATTCTTCATAATTGTAATTTTGCTAGTTATGACTCATAATGTAAATATCTGTTATGCAGGATGTCTGGTGTATGAAGCCCGACCCACAGGTTTAGAACCGCTGGCTTCGTTGATTAAAATGCTTGCAGAAGAGGCCTGGCAACCTGAAACCAATCCCTGAAACTTACCTAAAGCTGGAATGAGAAAAAAACGACGACAGAAAGCTCTTGCTGATCTCCACACGCCTAGAGGCTATGGTATACCACTGTCCTCTCTCCCTCTCCCCTCCCCACAGAATAATAGTAATAAAATTTAAAATTTTAGCAACTTTTGTCATAATTCCACAACTTTCCTCTATACACTTATAATTTGATTAAGATACAGAATATACCAAATGCACACAAGTATACACACAACTTACTTTCTTATGTACTTTAAAACTGAAAAGTACTTTTATTTATGACTGTTCCAGCTTCGTTTCACCTGTGATCCTCAAAGCACAAAGGCAAACCAATGAAGAATGTTACTTCACCACCAGAAAACAATTATTGTCTAGAATAGTGAATTACAAAGATTGTCTCGGCAAGACTGTGCATGTCATAAAAGAGCCTGTCTTTAGGAACCCAATTCTGTTACCTTCACATTAAATTCAACCCAGAAAATCGGATGGCCCTCATCCAAGAGCTGGATATGATACACATAGCAAGAGGAATTCACATAAATACGCTGCAAAATCCCATTCCTTTGTCGTTCCCCAGTTTAGTCTGCAGCCCCGTGTGTTGTTTATGCCAGCGTGCCTGTCTGCCTGCTAAGTAGTGCGCTAACTCCACTGATGACTTGGCCACCAGCGCCACAGTTGAAAATACCTCGCCACAGTTGCATAACCCCATCAAAGTTTTCATCCCGGCCTCGCCAAAAATGTAGACTGTATCTATTTACCAACGAACCGTTCTCAGGGAGCCCACACTTTGTACTTTTTATACGAGCAGTAAACTGTGATCTTGGTTGGTTAATGGTCTTGATTAAAATCCTTGAATCACATTGGCCAAAGACAAGTGGATAACTATCTGAGATCCATCGCCTGGATTCTACTCCCTGCCATCCACCTGTTTAGCAGTGTAGGCACTGCATTTATCAGAACCCAGAGGCTTCATTGGTAAGCCTGAGGCTAGAATAACCACACTGACCATGGATGGGCCTGTCACTCCTACCCACCCCAAGTATTTGTTAGCATTAAGTTTAGCCATTGGATAATCTACTGTATTCAAGTTGGAACATTCTTTTACCTATTGTTCTTTTTCTCCACAGTGCTTCATACATGAAAGAAATTTTGTTAAATTACATATACTTCCAGCTAAGTTGGTCAACTCTATTATTAACACCTACCCAGATTCGCCAATTTGTAACCTGAAAAGGCTTACTGGAGTACTGAGCTTTGGAGGTCTGTTGGCCTTTTCCTTTGGGACTTGTGGTAGGACAGCATGTCACAGTAGAAATATGTGTCATCACAAAAACCCATTGTCTTATGGCCAGGACACAATAGAATAGAAGAAAGGGTCAGGTTCCAACATCCTGTTAGAAAACACATTCCCCATGACCTAAAAGCCTGAAACAAGGTTTCACCACTAGAGCATCCTATAGTGACATGGAACGGTCACCAAGTCTTTAATTCGTGTACCTTGGTGCATGAATTGGGTGATACTTTTCCATACTGTAGAACCTGCCTCTGGTTTCCAAGGGTTTAGGTCACCTTACAATGCAAAAACGCAATCAACTCCATGCCCCAAAGCCCCAACCTTTAATTGTTTCAATATTGTCCAAATATCTAAGTCCAGCATTCGGAGATACAAGCAAACAGATATAAGTTCTTACTAAAAATCAAAATAGAAAGCTACATGCTTCCAAAACAACAGCGTGATAGGCACAGGCTAAAAATTCATCCCATTTTGAAGAAGAGGACCCTGAAATACCAAGGGACTGAACCAAAGCGAGTCTGAGATACAAAGTCGCAAACTGATTTCTGTGTGTCTGTGCCTTTATCTAGGACACAGTGGCAGGGTGTGGGCTCAGGAGGGTTTGGATAGCTCCTCCCCTCTGGTGGTTTTTATTTCAGCCCACTTGGCTACTCTAGCTAGCTCTGCTTACCAGTGTCTGCATTCTATGTCTCTGGCCCTGCATCTCCCCGGGCTCTCCACGGGAGTGATAGTTTCATGTGTAAACCTCTACACAGCAGAGACCTATCAGGGGCTACTCTCAGGACACCAACCATACAACAAGACTGTCTGGATGCCAGGCTTTCCTTAGAAACTTTGTTAGAGGTTTCAGGGACCCCCCCCCCAACCCTAACGCATGCCTCCTGCAAAACCAGCATCACATGGACAATGCCAAGGGCTGCTGTCAGTGTGAGCTCTACCAGGGCCCACCTGAATCACGGCTGCAGGGCCTTTCGAGCAAACTTTGCTGGATGAAAACTAAAGGAGTCACAGAGTGCTTCTGACAGTGCCTGAGGAAGTAGCTTCCCTGAAATCAAAGTCTTGGGGGGGGGGGGGAATGTTTGAGCCTGTGGTGGGTAGAACGACCTTCAGAATGCTTAGCTACCTTCAAGGCATGTTTTCTATTCTCTCAATGCAAACGTTTCTCTCTTCCTTAGCAATACCTTTATATAAGATATATTACTTTTCTTGCCAAGTTACAAGCTTTTCAAATCTTCCTGTCTGCCCCTCTTTGCTCCAGATTCCCACGATTAATTTGTCTAAATGCAATCGGTAGTGCCCACCTTACTGAGTACTTAGAAGACTTGAGCTCTCCTTTGCCAAATAAACTAGTCCGTCTTTCTGTGCTTACTCTCCCACGAAGACTCGGAGAACGGGAAAATGTTGCTAGACTGTTTGCCACAGCACAACAAGAACAACTGGATCCAATTTTCATCAGCGGCCTCATCAGTCTTGTGCCTAACGTCGACATTCTCGTCGGCACTCTAGGCTGCTCCTAACCCGTTCCCACAAGCTTTCCCAAAGTCTTCCTTCAAGTCTGCTCCTCAGACACTTTCACACTGTCACTTACATTACAATGCCACCCAACCCCTCATTCCCAGTTCCCAGCGCTAGCAAGCCTTCTGCTGCTGTAGCAAAGCAGCATAATGTAAAAAGAAAAGGCTCGGCTGGACACCATCTTGGATCTTTCATTCCATGATGGGCTGGCTCCATTATTTGGGCGTCTGCAGCAAGTAATATGGAAGTAAAGTGTGGCAGAGAAAGTACAGCCCACTTGTGGGTCAGCATGCAGAGAGAAGGGCCAGGAGGTGGGGGAAGAATAGGGAATGAATGTGATTATTGAATTGTGTGTGTATGCATGTATTATGAAATTACAAATAACGTATGAGATCACAAACTAATGTATGGGATCACAGAATAAAAATCATATCTTTTTTTTTTAAAAAAAAAAAAAAAAGAAGCAAGATAGGATAGGTATGGTGGTAGCTACTTTTAATCCCGGCGTTCAGGAGTTAGAGGCAGAGGCAGGAAAATCTCTGAGTTAAAGGCCAGCCTGGTCTATGCGGTGAGTTTTAAGCCAGCCAAGAGTATACAGTGAAACTTGTTTAAAAAAAAGAAGGGGGGTAAACCAAACAACAAAGGAGTAAAACATTAAACAAAAACACAGAAAACCTTTCTGCCCCCAACACTCGCATGCAGTCGCTCTGAAGTTGTCAGTCTGTCCTGAATTCTTGCTTGCTGTCGTTGCATACAACACCCACCAACGGAAAGGGTTTCTGCCCATATCCTTCAATCTGTTGTTACATGTTCCTTCTGGAAAGCCATAAGGGCAATCCACATGCCAGCTTCTAACCGAATCCTTCCCTAAGTTCTCCGTATGGAGTTAGGTGCCACAGCCTACCAACGTGTGTCCATAGTATCACTTCCCTTTAAAGACAGAAGGAGCCACTGGAAGGTGTGAAGGAGGGGGAAGGTTACCCAAGTGATGACCTTAAAGGATGACTCTGCGGTATAGGACAAGCAAGCAGGTAGAGGAGCACAGGTGGACAGTTACCAAGTGTTAACCCAGGTGACCCTGACTTCAACCAGCAAGAGAAATATGCTCATAAGATTTGGCAAAGAGATTAGACAAGAGAAATGAAGAGAGAATACGGGGCACAGAATAACCTCCAAAACAACAGAATTATAGTTGGATTTTCTTTTATTCTCACCCCACATTGGAACACCACAATGTTGTTGGACTCTTTGCTCCCAAACAAATCACATCTGAAGTCTTATTCTCACTTATGAATGCCTGGCCTTAGCTTGGCTTGTTCCTAGCCAGCTCTTTTTTACCTTAAATTATCCCAACTACCGTTTACCTCTGGGCTTTTTCTTTTTCTTAATTCTGTGTATCTTACCTTCACTTGGCTCTTCTGGTGTCACTGGCTCTGTGGCTTGCCAGGTAACTGGTCCATCATCACCATCATCATCATCATCCACTCCTAGTCTTTTACCCTTGATCTTCCTTTCCACAGTTCTTCCACTATTTAGTCTCTCTGCCTGCCAGCCCCGCCTATCCTTGCTCCTGCCTCGTCATTGGCTGTTCATCTCTTTATTAGACCATCAAGTGTTTTAGACAGGCAAAGAATCACAGTTTCCCAGAGTTAAACAAATGCCGCGTAGACAAAAGCAACACATCTTTACGCCATTAAACAAATGTTCCAGAGCATAAACAAATGTAAAACAACTTAAAATAATATTCTACAACACAAAATATTATTATTTAAATCTTAATTATTTAAAAAAAAATTACCTCAAGGTGTCTAGCATAAGCGACCAGGTAGAATGCAGTATTGTTCCTGAAATACAGAAATGGAAGGTCACAAAGGTTGTTTACTTACTGTTATTTGTAGTTCATTTTGCTTTATAGTGTGAAATGGGGAACGAGTTTAGCTTCAGAAATGGAAGTAACATTCCAGCAATAATTAATACATTGGCATTATGGAATTTTTGAATAACGTCTAAGTCAGAGATAAAACCGTGGGGATCATTGGCATATAGATGGTAATTACATACAGGCGGCAGGCACTATGTGGCATTCGGAAAGGAGACCAGAAAGCACCCCGCTATGCTTTTGTCAGCAGAGGGTTCCCTTAACTTCCGCTCCCACTCCCTTAACTTCCGCCCCACTCCCTTAACTTCCGCTCCCACTCCCTTAACTTCCACCCCACTCCCTTAACTTCCGCCCCCACTGTCTTCTGCTCCCACGCTCTTAACTTCCACCCCACTCCCTTAACTTCCGCCCCACTCCCTTACTGCCAGAGCTTCCTATTCTCATACAGCTGCGTTTCCTTTATGAAAACTACTCTTGAGTCCGGTCCAAAGACTCTTCCTTTTAAAGTCAACGGCCCCTCCCATCTCCCATTCTGTTTAGCTTCTGTAAGCGTGAGAACTGCCTATAACTCTAACTATCAAGACCTACTTGATTCCTTATCTGGAATGTTCTCTCATGTTCTGGTTCTCTCCTTGCTTTCCAACTGCCTTCTCTTCTGGATCCACCTTCTCTCGCCCTCAGCTCAAATCTCAGACACCTGCGTTTCCTCTCCTAACACGTATGAGCTGTTTCTTTGGTGACCTCACCTATCTAAACCGCAACTGCTATTTACACACAAAGCAGATCAAATTTTTATTATGAATTAATGTAGTACAAAATTAGAACTGGTCTTTGTATCACCATACCTTGCCTTGGGCTTCCAAAGTCTGGCTTCAAGCCACAATTCAAACCATGACTCCTATTACTCTCCCATTTTAACTACATAGATGTCTGTGGCTTCCTTATTCCCACAGAATGCATTTCCCAGCCCCTGACACACTAATGCCTCCAATTATTTGAGATATCCTGCTTACCTCTCTCAAAATTCTTACACTTGTTAATACCAACATCACATCTTCCGGGAGCACTTGGTCCATTTCTGTCTGGAAATAGTTTCTGTGACTGGAACTAATGGCCTTCACCACTTAAAAGACCTTTACATTCAGAATTATTTCATTTCTTTAACCATTGGCTCATTCCTAAGTATAGTAGTCTACCCACATTTATTGACTGGCTGAAAAGAGCTCGGGTAAATATCTAGTATCAAGATGTATAGTTAGATGGGACCAACCTAGGCCCTCTGTCTCTGGGTGACAGTCATGTAGCTTGGTCTTTTGTGAGGCTAGCAACGGGACCAGAACTGACGAATGAGCTGACTGTTTGGAACCTATTCCCTGTGGTAGCATGCCTTGCTCAGTCATGATGCAAGGGGAAGGAGCTTGGTCCCTTCTCAGCTCCATGTGCCATGCTTTGTTGACTCCCATGAGAGGCCTTAACCCTTCTGAATGGAGACAGATGAGGAACAAATGGGGGAGGGGTAGAAGGGAGGTATTGGGAGGGATCTGGAAGAAAGGAGGGAGGGGAAACTGTGGTTGGTATGTAAAACTAATTAATCGATTGATTGATTTAAAAAGATGTAGAATTAGACTCCTATAATTCCGTTGTCAACTGCAATCATTATTGAATCATTATCCCGTCGGAAAATAATTCTAAGAACTATCCAAATGTTGCAAAGTTAGCTAGATGCATTTGTATTCTAAGAAGCAGACGTTCTTCCTGTAGCTCTGAAAGACAAACAGAAGGGAGGAAAGGAACTACGTATTGATGTCAGCAGAGCGTAATATTTCAAGCAATATTTTATTTTAAAAGAAATGCAAACAGGAAAACTTTCAAGTCACACCAAATATCATTAACCACATTTCCCTGGCGTGTGACTCACCAATTTCATGTGAATTAGTTCAAATTTCATGGTAACAGGAGTCCATGTAATAGCAGAAATGAGCACTTAAAAGAATAGTTAATGCTTGATGTAACCCAACTAACTAACTAAATATGATTTTTAAAATGTGTTTGAATAATGTAGATATTATGCGTAGTTTAATCCTAACTGGACCTTTGCCAATTTAGTCACTTTAGTATAAGACAAATTCTGTGTTCTTTTGTAACTGCAGGCTTCTCAACTCCAGCAGGGCTAATTTTTTGTCTTCAGTCTGTTTGTCTTTCACATCTGCAGAGGCTGAGCTTGATCTCCTGTTGCTTAGTATTTGATAGCTGATCAGCTCTAAAGATATACTCTTTTGCATATGCTTAGCCTTTCTAATCAAACAGCATTTCCTGGTGGTTTTTCAGAATGAACCCTTCCCTGTATTTTGTTTGCCTTAAGATGTTTTCACTGTTGAGTAATTTTTACATATAGAATCTTTGACAGTGTCCTTCCTGTGTTATGTATCTATGCTTTGAAATAGTTCTGCCTTGCTGAACAGAAGAAAGCCACCAATAGTTGTTAAACTGGATTTTTAGTCCTGGGACAAATAAACCATAGACGAGGTAGATAGGGTCTAAATTATTGGGCTGTCGCTGAAGCAGGAAGCTTGTTTCGGGAGTTAACTAGGTAGAAAAGCTACAGCTGTTCTCCTGGGATGATTTTTGAAATGCAAGCTGACCACAAGGGAAGTGACTGTGACACGCCTTCGTTCTGCTGGACTGAGCCACCTAGGAGAGATCTTCCCCTGTTGTGCCCATCGGGAGGCTTATAAACTGGATACAGACTGCGCCATCCCTTTCCAAAGTCAGCCTTCTCCCAGGGTGGAGGGGGTGGCCCAGAATGCTTTTATAATTCCTATAGTCAGAGGGGCTGCCACAATAAAATAGCAGCAGTTGGGGTTAGGCAGGCCCCCTCACCCCAGCAGATTCCCCAGTAAGTGTTTTTGTTTCTTGGTTTTGTTAAAATGAGGTCCAAGTTATGGTTTCATAATTTCCCCCGTCCCTGGCCCTGAAATGAAGTTACTACAGCCCTCTAACTGGATGGGCTCCACTGCTGCAGAGCAAACTTTTTGTCCAAGACTCAAACCAAACTGAATGCTTGAGGCTTTGGGTTGTTTTGAGTTTTCTAAACTTCGA